GTCATCTGGAGTTCGGTGTCTCTTATTTTCAGCCGGTCTGGTGGACCAGTTCACCAATGGAGGCTTATGGAACCACCAGCGTCGAACCTTGGACATAATCCTGCGCTAGTAAAGCTCCTTCCCTAACCGTTTGTTGCTGCGTTCTCCTGTCCGGACCGGGCCTGGCCGTCCTCATGCCGAGTCGGCGCTAATCCTTTCGTCCTTCCATAATGAGTAGGCAACAAGGAGACGCGGTAGCGCTATCGGCAAGATAATGTCATTTTTGACTTGAATTTGTCGTGCTTCTCATTCTTCGCACCCCATAGCTCTCCGTTTTGCAAAGGTTCTCAGCAGTGAAAAGCATTCTTGCTACCTTACGTCGTTGCGCTGTGGTGGTTGTGGCCCTAGCTGGTTGATGCGATGCTGTGGCGTACTCGCTCGTGGCGAAATAGGACGACCAAAATAACCTCGTCGGCAGTGGGACAGTGGGCTACAACGAAGCGGTCCGTACAAAGCGACACAGAACCAGTCCAGGCTTTGGCAGGCTGCATCTCCCGGTCGTCCGTCCAGCTCGCCGAGGCCGAGCGATAAGCATCATTACGGCAAGCCAAAGCGCGTACAGGCCTTAGTCTAATCTTTGTTCGTTCTATTCCCGATTAATGAATGGCTTTAATTATGAAAAGGCAAGACTGCTATCTCAGCTCCGGTCGCTCCTCCGTGAACGCGTCGAGGGACCGTCCGAACTCCAAGTGCCCTTTGCTAGCTTTTAGACTCTTGCTAGAAGCACCACCCAAGTCAGCGATGCTACCACTTCGCAGCAAGCAAGCCGCATGCTACGACAGTATGCGTGAGCATGAGGTAGCTTCTCGGCTAGGGAAACCGGCCAACGCATTGATAACTGCAGCAGTTACACTTTTGACAGATGTAGGGTCGGGTTTTCGAAAAGCATTTGTGTACCAGCGCCAGGGAAATGCCCTGCGTTGGTATATATTATTTGTTAAACAAACTATAGTCGTTTGGTACCGCACGACGTTTTTACTCTGTGTCTGAGCGTCGCCATCATAAAGGCCTGCATATGAGCTTACGGACTTATGTGTCGTTCAATGAGCGAGGTACCTTGTTTGATCTTCCGCATACCCACATATTCAATTTCTCGACTTCTTGTGGTCTCGCTCGGTCATGGCGAATAGGACGAGTCACCGTCTTTTCTCGCTCTTTCTTTTACCAACTCCATATTCATACTTCGACCATGCAGAAAGCCTATCGCGACCCAGCCCAGTCGGCCCAATGTGCCCGACCGCGATAGCACCGATAAAATCCCATTCCAGCAACGTCGGTATACATCGCCACCTCCTTGGCGTTTGCTTTCCTGGTGTACCCGTTTCCTTGGGTTCCGCTGCTTGCGGACATTTGACCAGTTGGCGACTATGGGTTGGTAATATGCGGGCACGTCAACCGAACATTCTTCGCTGGCCTCCTCACTTCCGGTCGTCGCTGTCTGATTTTACTCTATCGGCCGGACCTGACCGTCTGCTTGCCTAGCGGCCAACTGTTGTCTCCTTTTGGCCACCTTTCCCTTTCGTCTTTACGAATGGCCGGGGACGGAGGAAAGGTAGAAACGGACGAGAAGCGCAGGACGAGCAAGCAGGGACATCGACAGGACAGGCCAAGCAAATGTAGTAGCCTAAGCGAAGCCAAACTGGCGAGTTGGTTGGATCTACATCGGCTGGTCGTGGACCAGGTTGGTCATGCTCGTGTTTGGGACGAAATAGGGCGTCCCCGGGGACACAACTGAACGAAGGCAGAAAGCGGGCCGTAGAAGAGAAAAGCGAGGAAGGCGCTTGAAGCAGCCATACAGCCAGACCGACTGACAGACCACCAGGGCCAACGCTGGGCTGGTCATGTTGGGTCTACAGTCTTCGCTACGTACCTTGCTAACTGAAAAGCTCGGTGCTCTATGTTGTGTGTGCTGAAATGGGGCGTTTCGTTCTCGTCGGCGTTGGCTTTGCGTACCTTCCTACATCAGTGCTCGAAGCTGGCACAGCTGCCCACAGGGCCTATGGGAATCACTTGGGGATAGACGGAGTCTCTGGTTGGCGTCAGAGGACCACCCGAACTCCTCAAGGCCTGAAGACACCCCCTCTCGTTTCCGAGTCTTCCACTAGTGCTGTCAAGCGGCGAGCTATTTGCAACGCCAATTCAAGGTAAATTCTCGATCCAACAGGCGCAGCTGGACGCAGGTCTTCGAGAAGCCCTGCAGTTCACTCTACAATGGACCGGCGCCTGTTAGCGTGTATGTATTAGCGTTGAAGTGAGTTGGAGACAACTGAGAATCAGTGGCATAGGGGACACTACGATATGAAACAAGGATATTTCTTACTCTCCATACGAAATGAAAATTAGCGTTTGGGTTAAAACTAAACTAATCTATAGGTTCAGTAAGAAAGAAATTGTTAACCGTAGTCGCTATTCACTCGGAGGAACATCGGCTACGAATATTTCCATCGAAATCCCGTAACTTGATATTACTATATATAACTTTACCATACACAATAGTCTTGTTTAAAAGCCCGCTTCGAAGCTCTCATACGAAACAAAGTATAGATGCATCCCGGAAAAAAGACGCAGGCGGCCCTCCGTGGCTGGTTATGGTTCTTGTCAGACGAAGTTGGGATTGACTTTGTGTGTGCGCCAACGCCGTGGTGCTTTAGTGATGCTGGTGCCAATGCTGGTGGTGCCGGTGCCTACAGCAGTAGAGTCGTTGACTAAAAGAAGCAGTGCGGCATCTCGTAGTGCTACAACGACATGCCTGACAAAAGGGTTACACATGACAGGACGTGCCGTACGGGCGGCGGAAAATAGGGTCGACAAGCGGCAACGGTGGGCTCGCCTGTAACCAGTCGTAGTGGAAGGGGACAATGCGAACTTTGACAAGAAAAAGAAGAAGCGGGAGCGTCAGGGACGACTTAAAGAAAGGAGAATAAGGGTCGGCCAGGCAGTCGGTTAGTAGAAGCAGTAAAACGGGAGTGACGAACAAATCAAAGAAGACTGTTCTTCTTTGCCCACCGACACGACCCGGCGTTCTCGCGCGAACAAGAGTTGCACTCGTACCAATAGCACGAGCAAGCGCTAGTCAGTAAGCAGGCGAGCAGACATTCCCTGGCCGGCTGTTCGCCTTTAAACCGACCGACCGCCCGCTGCCGCAGTCGCTACTACCGTTACCGCCGAAGAGTTTCACCACCAAATATAATAGTTGTGGTGGTTGTCGTTGTTGTTGTCGCAGCAGCAGCGCAGAGAGTGCAGTTCCGCTCGGCGGAATCTATTCTTCAACTCTTGGAGAGACGCTCCTTCAACACACGACGATGCAGCTACGGCACAACCGACACCGTTCGCGGCCACTTGCCCATCACTGGCGTGTACCGCAGAGCAGCAAGCAACCTCAAATTACGAATTGGATGGTTCGACGACTACGCCATGGCTCCCGCCGCCGAGACCGCTGTCATTGCCAAAGTCCTGTTTCATGACCCCCATAACATACACACGACGGTACGGGTTGTAGCGTCTAGAAGATAGCGGGTGGGCAAGAGTCGTGGAGAGCCCCCGTACCAGACACGTAACGGGACAAGAAGAGCACGGCGAACTTTTTCACTATCAAGGCGGGAACACCGCTGCTGCTGTGGTGGCACACCAACCTCTTTCGCGTATGGAAAGACGCCTTACGAAGGAGGCGGGGATAACGATGGAACAGTACGGACAGGCAGGCACATCTATTCCAACTACCGAATAGTACACGCTACAAATAGTAGCAATATCGGCGGCGGATCTTTTTAGATAAATACGCACGCCCGTATCCATAAAGCTTGACAGTCGATGCTGTAAAATGAGTTCTAAACGTTGCTTCTGCTACAGAGGGTGCGACAGCTAGTACTAACAATTCAAGTGGTAATAGTGGCTGTCGTTACTTAGTGGAACGGTACAGATCTTCTATTTGATGTCACTGTTCGGCCATTTTTAAGACAAGAAGAAATCAAATTCAATTGTTAGCCACATACAATGCGTATCGCTGGTGTAGTCGAACACATCTCGTATAAGGACATGTAAAAGCTTTTTAGCAATACCAAATATGGTTTATAGATATCTACGCGTTTTGTTTCCTAGTTATTTTTCCTGCACCGGACTGAGATCACCTTATTTTCGCAGGAGAAACATACATCAACGACTATCGCTATCATGCCACAGGTCCCATGCGGTTCCGTAGTGAATTAGCGACACGAAGTAGGACACAGGATGGCTTCAGCCGCATGAAGCCGGAGTTGAGAATGAAGCCAGAGTTGTAGATGAGCAAGAGGAAAAGAATAGTGTAAGTTCCGGTGGTTTTATAAGTACGGTAGTATCATGGTTCAGGCCAGCGGTCGCTAGCTACGCTCTAGCTGGCTGTTGCCCTTTCTGCTTGTACAGCCACTACCGCCGCTGCCGTCACGTTGTGCTGGGGGCTAGGGCCATTGGGAGCCAGTGGGAAACCGACAGACAGGCAGTGCGTATTGGTCGGAACCGGACAACCAAACGGGACAAAAGGGGCTTGAAGAGCGGGTGGAAGGGATAAAGGGCCGACGAGCTAGGCGAGGTGCAAACAGATACACAGTATGATTCTTTTCCCCCGTCGACCACAATCCCTCGCCTTGCTCCCCTCTAGTACCAACAAAAAGGAGCAGAAACTGCTGCCCGTCATGAGGCTAACGCAGTGTACTGATGGTGAGCTGCTGGCCGTGGCTTGGCTGTATTGAGGACCACAGCTCTTTCTTCAGGTCGGCTGCTGCGATCTTTCTTGTAAAGAGGATTTGCGGAAGAAGACTGCGGAATACTATGGCCGCTAGCGGCAGCAGCAGCACAAATGTCTTCTTTTTCTTATTCCTTTTGCCCAAGGAAAAGGAGAGCAAAGAGGATGTCTGCAGCTTCCGGTGATTCTGTACAGATAACAATATACATTATGATAAGGTCCTGGGAGGAATATAGCTGCTTACCTTTTTTCGCGTAGCAGCTGCATGCGGTTCGTGTAGCTCCTTTTTCTGTAAGAGAGAAAAAGGAAAAGACTCCTTGTTAGGGGGTGTTGCCATATGGATTGGTATCGGTAGCGTTCGCAGCTAGTGTTCGACGTTCGCCAGGTTTGATTCTGTAAGACAAGAAGCTGTGCGCTATGCTTGCTTATGTGAGCTATCACACCCTTATTCTGCTAGCTTGTCGCTTGCTCGTCCAAGCACTGCCGGCAACGCGGATCAGCATGTGATCGGACAGCGACTACAGGGGCATCGCCTTGGCACAAGATAGCGGCTTTCTTAGAGAAGCGGAGGGAGGAAATAAAGCGACGGCACATTTTCTCTCCTGCATGCTGGCAGGTCGTTTTCGTCATAGTACGATATGCGCATTGTCTCGGTACTAATGCAGTACTGCATTAATAAACTAACAATTAACTGCGCTAGCCATAAACGCGTACGTCTTTTCCTCGCATTTCCTTTGTCCTTCCGAGGCTTTATCAAAAGCATACCTAGGCAGCGTATGTGGAACAGCTTTTCAAATGATCTAAGAAATCGTTTAAAAAAAACCAACCATTGAAAACAAACTCTAACGGTTCAAGAAAGTGTACGAACTTGCCGGGGCCGCAAATGTAGGGGAGCTGCTCGTTGTCGCCTGCGACTGGCAAACGCTTCTTCAAGAACGTGTGATGAGAAACATGTTTTCAGCCCCATTAGTAGCCGGCCACCCCTACAGGCGTCAGTCTGCAAGTAAGCGAACCAGTTTTGCAAAAGTTTGCTACAGCAATAAGCAGCCATACGCCGATGGAGCCGCAGATAACTACGCGAAAGGCGAAAGGGGTCTTTCGTATCCGCCGCGCATCGTCGGTCTGTTCCAACCGTTCGGTCTCCCCTGTCCGACCGTAATCCACTACATTGAAATGCATTAGTACCTTAAACACGACACAGCCTCCGGGGAGCCCACGAAACGGGACGCGGGTAAAGGGAATGTTAGTCGGAGCAAAGGACAAGAAGGAGACTTCGGCTGAACAAGGGCTCGAAAAAGGACTTGGCGCAGATGCAAATGTGCTATTTTGATTGTGTGCGTCTGTCTGTCCCCAGCGAGCGAAAAACAGAAAGAGTGAGAGAGTGCGCAACGGCGCCTAGACCGTGCTCATCCCAATGTGCGCAGCGCGTCACCCGGTCGTTGTCGGTAAACTCGTAACAGCACTCAGCGTTCACAACGGAGGCAGCGTCAGCAGTACCAGCCTAGTATCGACATATCACAACCATCATTGCTGCCTTTCTTGCTACGGTTGCTTCCGAAACCGGCCTCCAAAGTCTGCTTCATTGCTATAATCGTCTTGGTTGCCTGTTCCCGATGGTGGTTATGCCAGTGCACTTGGTGCTCAACGCAAAGATACGCAGCAGACGACGAACAGCACAGCCACATAGGCGTCTACTGAGCACCGACCGAGACACCATATAGTTCTACTCATGAGCACTGAGATCGTGTTCAGAGACGCCACCGCCGGCGCAATTGTCAACGAGAAACGACAGTTGGGTAGCCGCAGTAGCGGCAGTTGCATTCGTGTGCCAGTAGTGCAGTGCTGCCAGTGGGGTTGTGGATTCTCTGAGGGTGTTAATGGTGCGACTGCTTTCCCTATCTTCGTCAACGGCATCGTCGCGGCGCTCTCATCTCGATGGTAGTACCGGTGCGCATAGCCCTGGCTGGAGTAACAGCAACCACATAGGAAGCAGCCCATAGAAAAATAAGAAGAAGAAGAAGCTTAAAGCCTCTAAAAGTGTGTGGACCGAAGCTTGAGCCAGTCTGCAGTACCATCGGCAGCAGCGGCACCAGCATGCCACCGTGGTAGCAAAGAGGCTGGCAACCAGCAAGCGACCGACGGAATGGGGAGTCGACGGGTGAGATATAAAATGAAGAAAGTCGAATCATTACGCCTCACTCAGACGACGGCGGCAGTGGCGAGCAGCCTCCCACATACAGGGCCACAGACGCACACCGACTTGCGGGGCACGACGAGAGCGAGGATGGGGGCGAGGATAAGGGCGACCACCGGACGGGAAACGGGGCGACGTGTGAGGAAGCCGTAAGATACGAAAGAAGGGGAGGCACAGAGCAAGAACTGCCACCGGCGGGAAAGCCATGGGCAGGATAAGTGAGAAAGAAATAGCAAGATAGAGCGAAAGCCGGAGCGAATGACACGATAAAAGCAAAATTTATTCATGAGGTCGCCTTGAGGTTGCCAAGCGTCCGAAACAAGTGACAATGCGGCATGCAGCAAGGCAGCTTGACAGACAGCGCGGTCTCTAGCAAACTCTGTCTGTCCGTGTCGGTTTCTTGAACGGTTAGACGACGCCGTTTGCATCGTCGCGTTAGTAGTTGGATCGTAGTCGTATCAGCGGTCGTCGTCGCTGGTAAGCTCGCCCTACACGCGTCTCGTGTATACAGGTACACATAAGGTGAGAGAGAGCGTAAGACTACTAGCCGGCATGCACGGAAGGGGTATTGGAGCCGATCGAAGCAAAGAAAGCCACGAGGGGTGAGGACTTGACTTTTGAAGAATGAAGAGCCAGTAACCTTGTCGAAACGAAGCATCGGGAGAGACCAGAGTTCAATGATGCCTCTGGGTATTTTTGAGTGCGTGTGGGTTCCTATTTGTGAGGCGCATCGCACGTTCGATGAGCTTCCTGCAAACAGAGAGGCCTCTCTTTGGCGAACTCAACCCCTTTGAATCCACATCGAAGTCCTTATCGCTTCATCGACCCATTGCGTCGCTCTTGCCATAAGGGGATTCAGGACCATCAATGGTTGCGGTATTCAAGGCTTGTCAAACATTTCCATTTATTGGTGCCTACGAGCTGACTTGCTTTCTCTAGCATTGCTTGCGCGCTTCAGACATACGGGAGCCCATTAGTTCTCGAAAAGTGTGATTCGATTCATTTTCGCAATTAGCAAATCGAGGGCAATGACGATTCCACGCGCAAACATTCAACTTATATTATAAGAAGTAACGGCAGTTGCTGATGAGTTGAATCCTGTGTGCACTACTTAACGTGGCTGCTAGACAGATATTGTTTATAAGCTCTTCACTAAAGATGAAGCTTCTCAGCGTCGAGACCTAGCTATAGTTTTTATACTGGTAGGGTGGTGATTTGATTACGACAATTAAGCTATATCTTTAAAGTAAGAATATGTGGGGGTTCACGATTGCCCAGCCTGACTGCCTGGTAAGCAAGCCGGTGTATTTTGAATTTTTTGTCAACTTAAAAGAATCGCGCCCTCCTAGTGCTGATGCTTCCGCTGAAGGCCAATTACAGCGCGGTTCAGGGTTCATTAAAACGGCTGACGGTCGTCGTAGACGGTTAATGCCATGCAGAATATGTGATCTATTCTGTCTCTATACAACACAATCATTTTGCGTTGATAAAGTTATTTAACCAGGAAAAATTCTCCCGAATGATTAAAATAATTTTCAGTTCTTCAGAAAAACGATAATCTCGCCTAAGTGGTATAAACTGTTGACTTTGCTAATCCAAGCAAATAGGGCAAGGTTCAGCAATTCTTCCATACTTAACTATGAGATCGACGGTATGTGCTACCCGGACTCGCCTGAACTATTGGTCCTCACTCATTCCAGATCTAAAATTGCCCCTATTTTTCTATTGATTGCTTGGGCTAGCCGACTAGCGTGGGGGCGCTTTGGGTTCGGCTGTGTATGAGTGTATGCCTGGTGGTGTGTATGGCCGCGGGTGGACGGCCGTGTTTTCGTTCGTTATGTGTGAGTAGCGGAACCGACGATGATGAAGAATGCCTTCGTCGTCGGCCCGTCCCACACCACGCTCTATGACCTCCCTCAATCCTTGGCAGCGGTAGTAGTCGAGAACGCAAAGCAGCAGGAGTGCTCTCTCCTCTGAACTCTTCTTCGTCAGACCTAGTCAAGCAGCGCCTCTCCGCTTCGACGCTACAGACGACGTGCCAACAAGGGGGAAACGGAGGCTGGGGGTTGTGAAGTTTTGAAGCTGATGGGATCGCCAGCGGTGGAAAGCGCTGCCAAGCGAGGCCGCCGCTCGCTAGCTATTGCGACTACGCTCGCACTAGGAGGAATGCAAAAGAAGGTTAGTCGGGCCGAACCAACAGCTTTTGATGCAACCAAACTTACTCGACTTTTTCTTTCCACTGTTTAATCGGCGTTTGCCACTTAGAGTAATCCAGCTAGCTAGCTAGGCCAGTGGAATCATATTGAAAGTTTATACATACATGCATGATACAGAAATACTTTCATATCTTGTAAAACGTGCACTGTCCCAGCACCGTATGTGCTGCGCCTTGTATGCATTTTCCCAGATATGTTACATGTATCTGTGATTAGCTACGTGCCCATCTATTCAAATATCAGGACCATTGTCGCTGACCAAAGCGAATAGGCTACCCAGACTCGTTTTGTCGTCATTTTGCAGTAAAAATGATACTGATGAAAATTAACTAAATAATAACTCTGGACAAATAAATAGAGACAACATGCTGAAACATGTGACGAGATATTTCCAAGGAATTTACGATGAATTAACTGTTCCGGTAATAACATAGTTACTAAATTAATTGGACTTACTCTTAAACACGAGTCTGACTACTGGTTGCTATCATTTACTAAGCTAGTGATGAAAAATGTTGTGAAGAACTAAAGATATTGAGAAGAGAAAGACTGAAGAAATCTTTGTCTCCAGCGACGCCGGTTAATGAGCCAATATATAATGGATAATGCATTTAAAAAAGAAGCTCATGTATGACTGAAATAACACCTTAGTAATAACTACTGAGATACAGTTAGGTAGTTCCATTAGTTTCAATAACAATCAAAATAAAAGCAGATACGTCACTGACTTTATGATAGAAATTATTTTTACATGATATTGATTGTCCACGGCGCTCTTCTGCGCCGAGCTGCGCTTGCAATACAATAGAAAACTAAGCCACCATGACTGCTCTTAGTCAAGCAATTGCCGGCAGCTACCCATTCTATACTTCAACGACA